AAATAAATAAATAAATTCATTCTGTAAGCATCTGAGAAAAATTGAATCAAGAAAACCCACAAAAATTCAAAATATCAAAAAATAATGCAACTTAAAGATCTATAAATATTATTATTAATTACATAAAATATGCACCAATACAAGAAAAATTTACGTGATCATATCACCCGGTGAAGAAATTTAGTAAACATAGCGGACTTAATATCCGCTGTATACATGATTTAAAAAAAGCAATGTCTTCTACGTTCTCTATCAAATGATATGACAATTGAACTAAATGATACCTGAATTTTGCTATAAATATTACAAAAATTAAAAACTTTTGAAAAGAAAACTAAAAAGTTTATTTATTGTTTATATACTTTTAGATTAATTTTAAATATTTATTAAAAATCTAAACATTCTGAAATATGTAATTAATTTCAAAAACGGGAGTGGGTCTAGGTTTTTTTTTTGAAGTGGGAGAGTCGAGTAATTTTCTTTAGAAAGAAAGGGTTGTAGGTCAAAACAGATTAGTAACCTCTGCTCTCGGTCAATACGAGAACTATTGGAGACCTCCCTCATAAATCAAGAGACGAAGATGATGCCAGATCTGCTATGTTGATTTCGTAATCGTCCTATAACATCATGATAATTTCGTTCAATTTTTTGAATTAATATAATACTAGTAACTACGCAAGGAAAATTGGTGACTGACATCCTAATTTTGAATTATGATCGAGATCTTTCACGCAGTCAGTTTTAGTCAGATTAAATGTGCATACACGAGCACCACGGGAGGTCGTTCAGACTGAGTATTATTCAGCATGCAGCAACATACATTACTTCATACGATATGTCGCTAGTACAATCAAGATAGAAATCCGTTGTTTCATTTGACCACCTTTGATCACAAGTTAATGATCTTTACCATTCAGATGCAGTAATGACTGATAGAATCAGACTCGATGATTTGAATGTCTATAAACTTCGAACTTTGAAGCAATTCGAAGTCTTTTATAATTTTAAAAAAGT